CTGTGGCTTTGAGCCATTTTGAACCCTGTCAAAAGCAACAATATCCAAGATGGGAATCTGCATTGGACTGTGCAAAGCAGGCAGCAGCGAGTCGGCCCCTCACATTTTTTTTGTTATTTATTCAAAGTATCGCTTCTCGTTTACAGGTCAACAAAGAGCTGATAAAACCTTCACCGATATGCTAACATATGGGAACTACTGACTTTTTGTATCTGCCGGAGGCGTGCAACATTGATAATCACAGCACCGTATAGGGCGATATATGAATGTCCTTTAAGTTACACACCTGATGATTGAATTCCTTACAATGGCAGAACCCAGATAAGCAATATTCTGTAAGCAAAACAGTTTTGGGGTCTGTGACTCAGAGATATGGTTGTTTGTTGTTTATATCTACTCTCTATAGGCAAGACATTTAACCCCACATACGTATCTACTGCTGTGCGTGAGGTGTTTGAATGGGTGTGATTGGTTAGATAGTCCTTGCAGTGCCGCCTCTGCCATCAGTGTGTGATAGTGGGAATGATGTCATATGGTAAAATGCTTTGAGTGAACGGAAAACCATAAAAACGTCCATTTACCATTTAAAATACTGACACCAACTAAATCAATGACACAGTTATGACACGTTTATCTGTGTGGTGGGGGATACTTTCCAACACATGAAGTTCATTAAACTATAAATTCAGGTCAGACTGACCTTGGACATCTGAAGTGTAGTGTATGGGTGATTTAGAGGCAACACAATCAATCAATATCTTTCCATTGTTTAAGCTCGCATTAACTTTCTCCTTTTTAACTATAGATTATAGTCATAGCTGGAATAAAGAGGCTCTTACACTCTGAGAAGAGGAGTTCCACGTCTGCCGAGTCATTTAAGACTGTGCCCCCTGCGGGTGCACTGTGGGTGTATCAGTGGGTGAGCAAAACCACTTCATCCCCTCTGCCTGTGTAAGGACATTATAATAAAAACCATGCCGCGAATATCAAGTTTTTGTTTTGTCCTGTGTTCAGTTTTCGTTTCTAGCAAGTCATTTTTACACATAGTTAAACGCCAGTGTTGTGGTAGTTGTCTGCTTGCATAAACAGCAGATACATGCTTAAGCTCACCAAAAGCTACATTTTTGAGGAAATTCCTGAAATTTCACCACAAAATAAGTCACGTTAAATTTGGCCTGCTTATAGATTCAGATCTCATTTAATATTGATGACAAACAAGACTTCAGATCATCTTCCTTGAATGTGTCCAAATATTTCAGATATTAAAGTAAAACATGTAATCCATGCTGAGAGTTTACTGTACAAAAAAAGAGGATTGTGGGTTGTGGACATAAACATTGATTTGCCCGTTTACCTCGTTTACCCTCATTGCTCAACCTTCAAGCACATAAGCTGCATTGTTATTCGTTGCCCCGACTCATCATGTTCTCAGGCAGAATGCAAATCTGTTATCCTCTGCCTCGGCCGCAGTGGGGTTGTTTTTGTGTGTAGCTGTTAGTTGCACTGATGAAAAGACCACCTGCCATCCTCTGGCCCTTTCATTAGATTAGGAAGTCAAAGGGATGGATTAAATTGATATGACGCAGACTTGGCCCCCATGCAGTGCTCACTGTGTCTTTATCAGAGCTCTCATTGGAGGCTGTGGGCTTAACTATGTATCTTATATTAATTGAGGGTATGTCCCTCCAGCCCAGATGTCAATGTCCATCATTTTTTATAAGAAATATGTTCATGTATTTTTGTTTCTAGATTTGGATTTTGAATTCCAGGTCCAAGGATGTCTAAAAGGACACAAGCAAGGATGGACCGTGGACTGTTTCCTCTTTAAGATGTTCTGTATTTTAAGACAGTACAAGCAAAAATTGATATTAATATATGCAATGGCTGTAATTTAATAGTATTCTGTGATTAATGCTAACGTCAGTATGCTAACAAGCTCACAATGCAACTCCTTGATAATTAGCAAACAAAGAGTACAACTGAGAGTTATCTATCCATCCCCACAGCCTTTTCTAAGATAAATGCTGACCGGAACAAATCATCCAGTATCTGTGGCTGTCAGATTTTGGCTGGCATTAAATTATTGGACGGCATACCTGCCTGTCTACCATCCTTCCCATATACCTCCCTTAACATTTCTTCATACAACAGTTTGAATGATATTTTACAAAAGTTGAAAGCTCCTTTTTTGTTCGTTTTGCTACAAACGATACCGACACATGCCAATTTCTGCGCCATACATGCATACAGTCTTTTCAAAATGAACTCGTCACAGTAAACAACTAGCTAAGGCGCAGGAGTAGAGAGGGTGCGCTGGGAACCACAAGATTGGTTGTTCGAGTCCCAGCTGCCCCATGTCCCATGTTGAAGTGTCCCTGAGCAAGACACCTGACCCCTAATTGCTCCCCGGGCAAAAATGTAAAAGCCACGGGTTAAAAATGTAAAGTAAGTCGCTTTGGATAAAAGCGTCCGCTAAATTACCTGTAATGTAATGTAAAAAGTGTTTACTACTTTGTTAGGTTTTGGAAAAGATGCAGTTTGGGTTCAAATAACTAGGAAAGGACTGTTTCTGGAGTACACAAGTTACGTCTTAAATACCAATCTAAACCAATTGATAGATTCACTACATGATATCATACAAACTTACATATCACGGAGCACTCATTGTCTGTGACTGGAGTCTTTGACAAGGCTGTGCAGACACCATTGTACTATAATAAAAGGTCAGGTATTGGAACTCTTGGTTGCTCTGGTCAGCAGTCAGTGGGATTCATCGCCTGGGGTACATGTGTTTCTTGGTAAAGGTGTCATCGCAATCCACCCACTGTTGAGATTATATTTATTTTGTGATCCAAGTGATTCCGAAATGGTAATAACTTTAACTGGAGATTATTTCTCAAATTATGATTATTTTTTAATGAATATATAAAAATACCCCAAAAATGGAAATATTAGTAAATATTTTAACGCAACTTTGTCTACTTCTGGTCTTCCGGTGTGCTGGTAAGTAAACAAAGTTGACCACGGAAACGAAAACCGCCGCTAGCTGCAGTCAGTTAGACAGGAGAGCGAGGCAGTAGTTGAAGATGGAGAGAGCTTTTTGCATTGGAAGTAAAACAAACGGAGGCGCGACATACAGCGGAGAACTGTGCAGAGGAATTACTCCACGTGTCAACCAGAAGGGGGGTGAGTGGCAAGTTAAATCACCGCTATGCTAAGCTAGCTGCTAGGCCACTTCCATCTCAACATCTAACCTGACGGTGGTCTGACACGTTAACTATCCAGTAAAACGGATTTCAATTTAACGGTGTAAAAGTAAGCTTTAGCTCCTTACCCTTCGAGGCAAATACTGTTTTAATTATGAAAGTTAAAATGTTCTTCACCTGAGTCGCTTAAAGGACGCTTACGCTGGTGAATTAGCTGTGCACTGGTATAGCCATGACACGGCCAGACGTCCATCGTCATAGTAAACATTTGCGGAGATTAAATAGTGGTTAAAGGGTCGCCAAAATTACCATCAATGCTGTTAACATAGCCGGGATCCCAATTCTAACCTTTAACAACACCTCCAAATAGCGCAATAAAAGTGCTTTCATTGTTGTCCCAGCAGTAACTGTAACTACTTTCTCTCATCAACCGTTAGACAGGCTGTCAAATGTGGAGAGTTAAGAGCAAAGTGCACGAGGAGCTAGTTCAAAATGTTCCACCTCCAAGATGATCACATGTGTAGTTTGTGTTAAAAATACATTTAAACAATTAAACAGTATCTCAAATACACTCAAAAGGGATTACTCATTTAGTCAATTGCACTTATAATTGCAATTGATCATGATTAATGAATTTCAAAATGTGCGATTAATTAGTTAATTTGATCTATTAACAGCCCTGATAAAAATACAACAACATTCTCAAAGGTTCCTTAAGACACTACATAGTTGATCTGTAAACAATATTTCATCTCATTTATATATATATATATATATATATATTTATATATATTTATATATATTTATCTTCTGTATATGCAGTAACAAACAAGTGAAACAAGTTTCACATGTAGCCATGACAACCGGAGGCTTGATTTCCCAGTGATTCAATAACCATATTATACATTTAGAGATAAAATATATATCCCAACTTATTTGAGGGGGCAAATCAACTTAATTTGAGGTACACATTTATATTAACATAATAATTTATTTGGGAAAAGCATGAAAAGAAAATCTATCCGTAAAACCCTTCAGTGTCTTTGATAAACAGTAGAGCACGATGTTTTATATTACAAGACATGTAGGGCGCCTTTTATTTGTGGACCGGCCTGGAACATATGCCTCTTTTTAAATAATTAACAAGCATTGCCAGGATAACTTGTTAGTAAGCATGAAATGCACTTCAGCATTTTATCATGTTTTGCATCGTGGCTCCTTCGGTGAGGAACTCTAAATCACCCCTTTTAAAATTAAGGGGAAAAAAAGATAACACCACGGCGTTGGTTTTGAATACTAATGTGTTATTATCTATTCCCAGGGATGGCATCTGACAGTTAAATTCAATACCCTCTTATTGAATCCAAGGAAAAGGCAGGGGGTCAAAACCGGGAGGAGGGGCGGACACTACACGTTTTGTTTTGTGGATGCTTGTGTTATTTGTAGCTATAGAGGCCAAGTCTCTCCTATTCTCATTCTAATTGCACCCTCTCCATTTCCCCCACGGCGGCTCACGTTCCCAGTGTGAGAACCCGAGTCTCCCAGCCTCTCACTCAGCCGCAGCCACCCAGACAGCCCGGCCAGAAGAGAGGAAGAGAGAGGGAGACGGAGGGATGGAGGGGAGGGGAGGGGAGGGGAGGGAGGGAGGAGTCTGGAGCTCCATCCCCTGACTGTGTCTGCTGTGTGATGTGAGTGGCGGAGCCCGACAACGAGAGAGAGAGAGACTGAGAGAGATGGGAAGGTTGGTTGCAAGGGGTGGAGGGAGAGGGTGTGAGGGCTGAAGAGACTGAGAATGGATGGGCAAGCGAGAAACTGTGAGAGAGAGAGAGAGAGAGAGAGAGAGAAAGAGTGAGCGAGCGCGTGCATTCTCAGAGTCAGCCGCCGAAGACACAGAAAGTCCACGCGCTCACATCAACAAGAGAGCGTGCCAGCGAGCGTCGGCCACCGGCAACTCCGAAGAGTAAGAGAGACTCCCAGAGAGACAGGGGAGAGGAGCAACCAGCGGAGGAAGAGACGGACAGAGGACAGACTACCAGCTTTCCACTGGTAAAAGGAGACACCACTGAGGGAGCGTAGCATCCGTCCCCCCGTCCCCCCACCTCCACACCACCCCAAGCAGCACAGAGGAGCACTGTCTCATCTCGTGCATGTGTTTGTGCCTGCCAACTTCCAATTTCACACTCGCCCACTGTCTCCCGTAGGTTTTGCCCTCTCCACTGCTCGCAGTCATGATCCCTCGGGTCCTTCTGCTCTTGTGGATCTCCGGACATGGTGAGTCTTTTTTTTTTTTTTCCCCAGATTAAGTTGCTTATTCATCACATCTCGCGTGCTTGTGACTGCTGTGCGACTTGCTGGCTGGGAACGACGTCTCCCGATCCATCTCACTGTGACGTCTGAGATTATCCTGCCATCGCTGTGTTTACGTGCTTGTGTATAGCGTGCTTCTATGTGTACTGGACATTAGGGTGGAAAAGTCAGTGTGGCTTTCCTGGGGCTTTAAATAGTAGTGTGCTGATCTCTTTCCCCTCGGTGGTTCATCACAGGCTTCAGACCAGACAAGTTAAATACGTCCTGTGCTGGCTTTATATTCCTGTCCGACACATTGAGACACACACACACACACACACACACAAACGGAGCCCTTTAACCATCCATCAGTTCAATCAAGCATTCACTCTTCTGTCACATTGTTTCGAGTCCAACAAAAGGAAAAGAGGGTAAGAAAAGTTCCGGGTGAAGCGGATTAGAAGGAGCGCTCTTGATTAGAGCTCGGCGACTCCAGCCTTTGGAACCGTATCCGCTGCTGCTGTTTTTGTTCCTAGACGGTCTGTTTGTGGCCAGAATGGACGATGGACGAGTGGCTTCCTCCGGCTTGCCACCAGGTGGTTGTCTCTCGAAGACAACACAGGTTGACTTAAGTGCAGCTCTCTCTTGGGCGGAATCAGACGGCGGACGTTCGTCAGCCCCGAGCTCCCCCCGCTCTAAGCTCCGCGGGGTCGGGGTCAGCGACACAGCAGCCACCTCCTTTTCAAAGCGTGACCCCGTTGCGTCAGGACGGGCGCTGCACGCAACGCACGTGTCCGTGGGTCTGTGCGTGTTAAGCTGTGCCTGAGAGGGAGTTGTAAGCTTTTTTCGCAGAGAAGGCAAAACTGTCAGATCTCAGTTTGTTGAGACGTGTGTTGAAAACGTGTGTTGAAACAAGCAAAGAAACGCAAGCCGGCACTGAACTCAGCGATTTGACAACTGGACCTGCAGCCCATCACACATGAGTTTAAAAATGTAAAAGAAATGATGGCTCATTATTCATAGGAAATATAAGGAATTGATAATATCAGCACAGACTAATGACTGGAGTGATTCTTTAACGGATGAGGATCTCTGCCTCTGTTATCTGTTTCCTTCATGGCCGTGTGTGACGTGGGACAGTTACACCAACGGTCCAACCGGACATTGGACTAAACAAAGTCAACGGAAGCGTTCTCTCTCTCTGCCGAGGCCTTCTCCTCATTTTCAACACGCATTACCGATGTTTCTGCTTTGCTGATTTCTCTCCCTCCTTTTTCATTGTCAAGTATTTCTGTACCATCTGTGCATGCTGCGCCGCAAATATACACGATTAGTCATTAGTCTCTTCTCCTACACTCTGTTAAGCATCTGTTGAGTTTACTACCCGCAACTTGCCTTTTCTAAAACTTTATTCCGCGAATCACGTCCAAGTTTTTATTGTACAAAGAAATTGCAGAGGGGCTTTGTTTTATTGGCATGCACACTATGTGTTTACGACCATCCCGTTTTTATTTACATGCCATCACAGGCTAAGCCTCTGTTATAGGAACAAATAACAGCATATCTGCTGGTAGCAGCAGCTGGAATGAGAAGGGATTGCAGTGTGTTTCAGCACGGTTAGTTATTACCATAAAATAAAACACTCCTTTCCCCGGCGAGTAAAAAGGGGATAACAACATCTACCTTCTCTCTGCGCGCCTCTGAGGAGTAAAAAAGTGCTTCCCCGTAGCTCACCGTCGTTGAACAAATTAGGGCTCTGTTTATGTGCCGAGTCGGTGTCAGCAAAAAAGCTGCGGAATACAATTTTGTTTTTATGAACAGGGGGACAGAGGGGACTTGTGGCCATCGCAGTCTTATAAAGACGCAGCGCTCCTGCGAGAGGGAGAGACGGGTAGAAACGAGAGAATGAGCAGGGGAGAGGAGCCCGTGCATACGGAGAGGCACGAGTCACTTTTCTTCACTCAAACTTTGGTCCGCAGGGATAAAGAGAGGGAGACTTAGTAGCCGAGAGAAGCTCCTGGATAGGCCGTTACCTCATCCAGGGCACCTTTTCTTACGCTGTCGCTTCTCCTGCCAGTGACAGATGACACAGCACCAGTTAGGGGGATCTAGGAGACAGTGTCTAGGAGCACATTCACCCGAGGGACAATCTTTTCCTGGACCTCGTCCATCCAGTCGCACCTCCTCTAACCCATTTTCAATCAATTCAATCCATTGATTTTATTTTTCAGTATTTGTTTTTTAATTCATTTGCAGTGAGATGCACTGTTGGGAGAAAGGGTGATTAATGTGAGAGCACGGTTTCCCGTTGGAGGCCGTTTAAGGGTAGTCTCGTCCTGGGTATGAAAGGCTCTGAAGAAAAGGTAATGGAGAGAAATTGTCATTGTTAAGTTCATGAGCTCAGTTGTATTTTCTCTCTGCCTCTTTTCTTCTCGCGTCTCTCTTTTCACGGTTTTTCTTTCTCGGAATGAAACCTTGTGAAATTGATATGGAAGCTGCCATGGCCAGTGGGGGGTTTTGTCGACTCTCTCAGGGATATTTCATCTTGATCCGACGGTTTGCCCACTAGGGGCAGTGTGGCTGCACAGGAATCAAATCCCAATCTTACAGCAAATCTCCCGTCTGCCCAGTCTCCTTCATTAAATCCCATCCCCTGGTGTCAGAACCCCCGATTTCACCACCCAGCCGGATTAAACTGTTTCAGGATTCCTGGAAAGCGTACTTTAGCAACCCCCAACAACCCTGTTTTCATTCACCGCTGTCTATTAACTGCTGACTGACGACTCTAAATCCGCTTTTCATGGGTGCTAGGCTTTGATACATATTTCCCCACCAAAGTATAATTAAATGTCTTTCCGATGTCATGTCTGGATGTGTGAATTTTTTATAGAGGGAGAAATCATTCTCACTTAGGCGGAGAAATCATTCTCACTCATTCTCAATGTTCGTGAGAAATCACTCTCAGGAACATTTTTTGTAAGCATGACACACTTCCATTTTATGGACAGATTATGGCCACGATGACTCCGAGGTATTCAATCGATTCATCCCCGTTCTATAAGAACGCGAAAGCCAATGTGCATTTTGTTTGCATTGATTTGCCGTTAATGCGGTCACATGATGTAATGTGACTTAAAGCCACGTAACACTAAATATGTCTATATATGGGCAGGTGTTTTGTACATGCCTGATAAGAAAGTTCCCTTTCCTGTTCCTATAACCACACATGCCAATTGGTATGAGCAATGCTAATCCTGTCGGGATTATGCCAAACAAACACAGTGAGTGACGGATGATGCCATCGGTTCATGATGGGGCCCAGTGCCATGCACTTTGTTTTCTTGTTTGTGCTTCATGTCCCATCAAGGCTAGCCAGCTTCAGTCACCTCAGCCGCTGTGACCCCTGCTCATTTTTGTGCCACGATAGATTAAACCCCCTGTAATCCCTCTGAGCCCAGCGCCCCGTTGGATGTTTATGGTAATAAGTAAACATATGCATAAATAATCTAAGAAGCTGCTGCTGGACAGCTGGAACTTGCAAATCCTCAATGTTTGGCAGTGGTATTTGCGACAACGAGACATATTATATCCAAGAAAAAAAATTGGTTTGGCTATGAATAATCTTTTTTGGTTTGAACGCTATATAAATATATGAAAAAAACAAGATATTGCCATTTGTTTATTGTAAGCGCGCGACCTTCCAAATGTTTCAGTGGCAGACGGTGCCAAGTTGGAATTGCAGAATTTTCAATGAGTGTTGTACATCCGTTGACTTGAGTACTGGATGAAAGCCTCATTACGAGTCTGCCAGGATTCAGGTCAGCCAGGCAAGGAAATAATATTGGTTTGGGATGTTCTTGGAAAACCAGGCGATGACCTGCTTCCCATCATGTAGACGGTCAACAAAATCAAGCTGTTTACAGTCGGGCTTCATTATCCATAGAGAAGACTCTCTACCGGGCCCAACAGTTTTCTTTAGTACCAACCAATCAACCCCCAAGCGCCTCATCTCCTCCCTCCCCGAGACCCTGCTGCTGGATCTCATTCCTCAGGGATGAATTTATCCAGATTGAAGCACTCAGCAAAAGGGCATTATCCCGGATTACATGTCCGTTGGACGGCAGTGTTAAGTAATTCCACCAGATGCTGTTGTGATCACTGGGTCACCTGAGAATGCAGGGTTGGCAGCTGTACTTCTTCATTCTTTATTGACCTATCTCCATCCATCTGAGACTTGATCCTTGGACGACAGAGATAGTTGGACCTCGATGATTTTTAAGAAAGCTTTTAAGAGAGCCGTTAAATGTAGGGAATTGTGCAAAAGGCTTTTCTAACCATAGCCGGGATTTTATTTGGTAACAGATTAAGGGGTGGATTAATGGCTTCTAAATTGCACATGAAACAACAAGTAAAGCGTCTAAAGTCGGCTTCGCGAGGCCGTGTGTGTTAAGTTGTGGGGGTGCTGCGAGGAGAACAGTCGCGGATCACCGTGTTATTTCTCCTTGGAGAGGACAAAGCATCATCGGGGCTTAAAAAAAAATGTCTGTGTTTTTAGCTCGACTGTTGTCTGTCTTCTGCTAATTCCATTCCCACCTATGTGAGGATTTATAAGATATCTAACGTGCTACTGGGATCTGTTGAACACTGGTGTGCGAAGGTGGGTTCAAAGCGAGTAACAGTTCAAAGTTTGTTCCTTTGTTCTTCAAAAAACAGAGACGAGGCTTTTAGACAAGACTTTTGTTCCAGACATTCACGATGAGGAAATATCCTTTTTCCCTCTTCATTTTTTTCAAATAGTTATATGGAGCTGATTTTCTTTCCAAAACTCACACACACAGTGTGGTTTTGAAAAATATACCACTATTAACTGATGATAGCTTTAAAAATACAACACATTTCTAGCAATACCCAACATATTTACAATCCAACATACATATCCTACAAATAATAAAACATTACCTAACTTTTGGCACAATTGCTCCGCT